GGATGACCTTGCCCTGCTCCTGTGCTGTTTCCCAGGACAACCCATTCCGGCAGCGCATAGCTGAGGTGTTCTCCGAGCACGGCGACGGCAACATGACTTTGGATGATTTCCTGGACATGTTTTCTGTGCTAAGTGAAATGGCTCCCCGAGACTTGAAGGCTTATTATGCTTTTAAAATTTATGGTGAGTGAGACATGCATAAAAAGTAAGTGGGGAAATCCTGCAGCTTCGTGTAGGGCTGCAAAATCCTTGCTTTGTCAGCATGATGGCTTCTAGGTTCCATTTAACTGCACTTGAATGTTTGTTCTCCCTCCTCTAAAAACTTCTGGTTTTCTTTATCCTTTTGTCTCTAATTTATTTGGTATTAAGATTTACTACCAAATTTACAACTTGAAATTATCTGCAGTTTTCAAGAGCTGATAAACATTAAGAAAAGTTTCTGTCTGAGGGGCTGTTGGAAAAGTACAGCGCAGGGGATTCGGGTCCCCATGAATCTGTAGGGTGGATTTGGGAGGAGGAGGTAGGGAAGAACACTGCAGGCTTTTTTTCTCCAAAGACAAATGTAAAGATTTTTAAAATGTGTATTTACAGTTACTTTATGATCAGCTAAAGACAAACAATCTATCAGACCAACACAATCTTGCTGAATTGATTTAATGATGGCTAGGCTATGTTCAGCCATTAAACCTCTTACAGTTGTTACCCTGATGTATGAAAAGGAAAAATTAAGAGGTTTTTATTTTGTAACTAATTTCTTTTACAAATACATGGAGGTAACTTAATTTCTGATTTGAGAGTTCTGCTGATGAAAATCCATCACAGCCTGAGAACCAAGCTCTTATATTGGATCTTGGCAAACCACCATGTAAAATGCTGACTTTTGTCACTTGAAATTAACTTTCTCTCCTTTGTCAGACTTCAACAACGATGATTACATATGCAAATCAGACCTAGCGAAAACTGTTAACAAATTAACCCGGAATGAGCTGACCCCAGAAGAAGTCAGCCTGGTGTGTGAGAAGGTGATTTATGAGGCTGATGTGGACAACGATGGCAAGCTGTCCTTGGCAGACTTTCAGCATATGATTGTACGAGCTCCAGATTTCCTCAGGTAATATTTGCTTTGAATTTCTAGCACAAAATTCTCTTTGTTTCCTTGTCAGAAGCCTCTGAAGTGTGTGTTTATATCTCCTCAGTGTTTGCAGATCACCACTCTTCTGTGGCAGGTTCCAGTAGAGCTGCCCACTGCAAACACTGCAAAAATAAATGGTTGAAAAAGCCTGGAGGCTTCTTGACTTGCTTTTGAACTTCTAAAGTACTTTTTACATGATAGAATGTCCTTGTAACTTAAAAAGTTACTATTAGCACTTAGGCTGCATTGATAAATGCATGAGATTTGCTCACTCAGTGTTTAACATAGTGTTAATGTGGTTTCTTACACAAACCAGCACTCAAATCTTGCATTTATTTAATGTACCCCATCTTTGCAAATGCTTTCAAAAATGAAGTTTCCAGTTTATCACAGAGCCCTACAATTAACTGTAGTAAATCCTTTAAACAGTGATGCATAAGTGATCATGATTTCCTTTTTTTAACAGCACCTTTCATATTCGAATCTGAATGTAGTCAACCTCGGGGATGGGAGAGCTTCTGGGACTTTCAACAACCATTACTTCACTTGAAATTATCAGCCATGAGAGGGGCAGAGGACAACTTCTGGTAACTGAACCACTCCGAGGTTCACTGAACCACTATCTTTAATTTTTCTCTTTAAAAGGAACAATTCATTAATTTCTTCATCAGGATTTCACTGTAATTTAGCAAAATGTCTACTCCCCACCCTCAGCTAGAGCAAACCTGACCTGGACAGTCAGAAGGGAAGTATTTTTCTTAAAGTTTAGATACCACCAGGAAGTAAAGAAACTTGTATCAAACTATAACCTCTAAAAATTCACCCAAAAATGCCTTAACCAGTGAAAAAATCCCTTTAGTTTCAAAAGCATCAGTAACTCCTGATAATTTATGGTCTTAATAAATGGTCCAACGAATCAGTTCCTGAAGTATTCTCCCACAGTTCAAGATTTACAATGACAAAGTCAGCAGTTTAGACAAAAGTCTAGCCCAGGTCCTGTCCTTCTTGTCCATTTTCAGAAATCCCCTATTTTCCACACCCACCAAGGTCCCTACACACAAATGATGAATAAGACTAAAAACTTGAGTTTGTAAAATTCTCTTTTCATAAGAAGTTTATTTATGCAGTGCTTAGGGTCCTGTACAAGAGAGTAAAAACAGACATACTGTAATAAACAACAGTTTTGTTTTAATACAAACATGAAAATCAATGAGAAGTGTTTAAGAAAGCAGTTGTAATGTGGGAAGGGTGGCAGCCAAAAGTGATCATTGGAAAAATACAATTTACATTAATTTTTACAAATTTTGGGATGTGTTAAATTCCCTTCAAACAAAGTCCTAAGTTCCAACTCACACTCAACGTAGAGCAGATGATTCCTGCAGAAAGGCTGGAGAGACCAGATAACCAGCCAGTTAATTACCTTTATTAACCACAGAAACTCTGGGGATCAGTAAGGATGGGAATAAGGCAGCCTGGAACACTCAGACTGCAGTTCCACTCACATTCCTTTGAACAGATCTTTAGTTGAGCTAGAAATGAAGACACATGTTAGTTATCATTCTTCCCCATCCTCACACAGCTGTTTGTGCAATCCCCTGGCAAGTCCAAGAGAAGAAGAAATCATGGCAGTTTTGAGCATGATCATCAGCCAAACACACCACCACAAAAACCCCTCAGCAATCATCAGGGAGATGATCAGCATCTCACAGCAAAGGAGAAACCAAAGAATTTGCAGCAGCAGTAAAGAGACTTACAATAATCCATAGGATTTATAAATCTGAGGCTGGAAGTCTGAAGCTGGCAGAAGGTTCTGATGGCAGGAAACATGAGCTGTGCCTGTCAGCACAGGACAGAGATAACACAGGTGTTAAATAAGTGTTAAAAGCAGCTCCACCATTTATTGACAGGCTGACTGACAGGTCTCTGACCACTATGCAATGTTCTGCAACCAGCCTCAAAAATAAGGTCAACCACAGAATTCCATGATACTCATTGAAATAAGGGAATTTGAGGACATGCTCAAAAATGGGTTTGTTTCTCTACAAAACAAATGTTAATCAATTACTTGACATTTTAGTGGTATTCAGACACTGAGAATGTGTAGTAAGCACAGTTAGTTTTGCAGACCTACTTCAATTCCTCAGTTTTACAGGTTTTGTACCCAATTTGTGATTTTTTTCCTCCTTAGTTAAAGAAAGCTTAGACACAAGTAGATTAAGTATGTATTTACAGAGTACCTCTCTGACAATTGCATTTTCCATTACATTCACACTTAATAAACACAGTAATTGAATGATGTGATGGAAACACACTGTACTTCTAGATTTGATGCCTGTGTTTGGTGCCACACAGCTAAGCCCATGTGCAGTGCAGTGTCTTTAACCTTTTCCTCTCTTACACTTGCATTTTAGGTTTCCTGTTGCTTACACAGATTTAATGTCTGTGTACAGAAGTACAGTGATGGCTGTAGTCACAGTAACTGCATGAGACTTCCTGAGATCAAGCAATAATGTTGTTGTTCACAAACCCAACCATTTCAAAAGAAATAATGTCATAATTAGGTACATAAACACATGCAACAACCAGCATAAGTTTAAACAGAAGGTATTCACATACAAAGAATTCTGAATGCAAGAGTAACTTCAGGTTTAGAAAATGAGTGAAAAATCACAATACCATCCTTCAGGTTTTACCCATGTGTAAATGAATATGGTTTGTTTTCCCAGCTTGGGATGAGTTATTGATACAGTCCACAGGCAAGAACCAGCATCATGGCAGAGCCATGGAATCAAGTCAGATAAACACCAATTTTTCCAGTCACTCTGAAAAATAAATCAGGCTCAGCATCTGGCTGTATAAAGCACAATGCAGATGCAAGACAATCCACAGTTATGACTAAGCCAGAAGCAAATTGTTACAGAGTTATGTAGGAAATTCAGCCTGTCTTATCACCACCCCAGTTGTGCCTCAATCATTACTTGAAACACACAAAAAAATCTTTAAAAAACATCCTTAGCTCAAGACAGAGGTGCTGCTTGTCCAGTCTACAGGTCTGTGTTACCTACACTCTGTCTAGAAGCCTCCTCAGTAACTTAGCATGGTTTTATCCTACAATTACATCTATGTATAAATCCCCTACAGGGCATGTTCATCAAGTCCTCATGCTAAAAAAGCCACAAGTAAACAAAGAACCAAACCATCATAAGGTTTTGGTTAGAGGAAAGCTTTAATCAGGACAGAGATCATCTAAATGCATCTAAAATGCATTTCTATAAACCAGCAACTTACAGAGTGAAATCTTTTTCCATTTTGGAACAGGCAGTATTCCTGTTGGGCCCAATTGCATGCTGCAGATTTATACAGTTTAATTGTGAATGCAACAGATATTTAACCACAGCAACACTTATTAGCACTACTCTGAGGCCCAGAGTTCAATACCACAAACTCAAAAGAAAACCAAACTGGTGAGTAAATTCCACAACTTCAAAATCAACTTGGATTTTACCCTTAAGTGCAGTTGTCAATGTAAACAAAGGCAGTTCCAGTTCCAGGGAGCTGCAGGACACAGCTGGTGTGTTCCCTGGTCAGGCACACATCCCTGCAGGCCCTGGCACAGTGATGCCCCTGCTGCCTCCTCCTGTCAGTGCAACCCAGAGCCAGCCCTGCAGCCCCTGCAGCAGCTGTGTTGGCTCTGGCCTTGCACACACAGCAATGTCCTGGCCTGGCTCTGTGGGACGGTGACACCGCCTGTTCTGGGAGGGCTGGCTGTGCTCTGGCAGAGGCTGTGAGCACAATGATGCTGCAGTGACCAACACCAGCACAAGAGAGCCTCACTCACAAAGTGTGCTGGTGTGCAACATTGATTTGCAAATGTGAGCAGGTGTGCATGGGAACACAGGACTGGCAGCAGTGCAAGACGTTTCTTTGTCATGATTTAAAACTGCCATGATAGGTCTGGAGTCATTCCCAGCTGCAGAGTGGTAAAGCCACCCATTGTAAGGTGCCAGGTTTTGTGTAAGTGTCCCTGCCTGACTCTGGTTCTCCAAGAACAGATGACAGATCATCTGGACAGGACTCAGTGTAGCCATCAGCTCCTGATAAACAGGTCTGAATGTCTGGAGTACTTAATTAAGCACAGTCAAGTCTAACACGGATGAATTACCAATGGTAAGGACCCTTTCTATGTACAGCACACATTCTTTTCTTAAAAAAATAGAGATTCCTTTGAGGAGAATTTTTTTAAAACATCAATTGTACTTGTGGATTGTCTAGAGTAACCCAGCTGAGTAAGAGACAGGCAGATAAAGGAGTTTCTCTGTAGCAGAAAAGAGGTGGAGCTGCAGAAAGCTCCGTGGGGAGGCATCAGCCTGCACTGCTCACCTGGGTGCATTTCTGGGATGTTCTCATGCCACTGCTCAGTGTGCAGCTCATGTACCATCAATGCACATCTGTGCTTCATCAACAGTGGCATTTAAGTTTCTTATTTTGATCACAACCTCATCTTTCTAAACTGGATACATGACAGATACAAATGAAGGCTGAAGCAATGGTGCTGCATCCCAGGTCACGTGTGATCTGTTCTTCCTCTGCTAGACAATACACATGCCCAGTGGCAATCTGACAAAAATAAACTTGTTTCATCTCCAAAACTGAAGAGTCAGACAATTACCAAAATAAGCCATTTCTTATTCAGATGGTCACAGAGTGACAAGGTATGTTGGGAGCACTAAGTCCACAGAAAGAGGAAACCTCACTTAGCACAGGCACAGTCCAGCTCGGATTAAGGCCGTGTCCCTCACAGAAGAACACATCGGAAAAAGCTGCTTTTCTTTTGCTGCTCTTGTGTGATTTTGACTCCCTGGTTGCTGCCTTGAGGGCTATTGCCTTCCTAAAGATGGAAAGAATATCCAGTTACTTATTTATACTTAACAGATTCTTCCATCCATACTCATCTGGTCACTCTTAACCAAGCCTGACATCCACAAGAACCTTTCCCACAATCAGTAAGAGGCTTCACTCATTTATCTCAGTCTTACACCAGCCATGACAAAAAACTGGAAAACTGCATCTGCAGCTTTTGGCTTCACCCAGCTCACACTGTGCCTAGGCCTCAGCTTCCATCAACTCAAAGACAGCTGAGAGTAAAAACCAACAAATTACAGGGCATGGCTGGCTCTTGTTGGAAGGCTTAGCAATCATCAGCAAGACCCAAAATATCCCACGGCATCAGTTCATGTCTGGTCACATGAAGGTGGAAATATCAGTAAGAGCAGAAAGAGCCTTCATTAGCTTTATTTCATATTCCTTAAGGAACAATCCAACATCATTGTGCTTTTATTTGTTGTAAAAACACAACCCAGGACATTCATGCAAAGATTATCCAAAACCATTAATTCTTTACCTATCCTTAAACAGTTTGAAGTTTCTACCCTGAAGTATGATGTCTGCCTCCTCTATCTCTATTTATATGATTTTCAGACTGCAAGAGTGAGAAGTATCATTAAACTGCTCTACCCCTAACTGACTTTTGACAAAACAAATAACAGATAATTTTATTTAGAAAACCTCAACCATTACAGCTAATTCCTGAAATGCAGAGACGGCCAACATCAAAGCCCAGCTTGACAAACTGAAAATAAATTTCTAGAACTTTCAGGGATCCTTCATAAAAGAGACTATGACACATTTTGAAACAGATCTTGCAATGTGGCTTTTGGTTTGCTTTTTTTTTCCTATTTAAATCCAGCATGGATGAAATCAAAGTTACTCACCAACTTTTTGTCCATTTTTGCTTTGATATCTCTTGCAAGAGTGAAAAATGCCTGTGACAAGTCAAACAGTTCAGTGTTACAGGGTATAAAATATTTTCTAACAGTTTTGTACAGCAATAAGCTGCCTTCCCAAGTTTTAACATGCTATATAAGAACATTAGTTTTTCAGTATTTTTCCCTCTGCTCCAGGTTTTAATGCTCCTTCTGTAGCTCCACAACCTTCTTTGTGAGCCCCAAAGCCCCAGTGGCACCCCCAGGCAGGGTCTGTGCTGCAGGAAATGCAGAACAACCCATCTGTGGCTTCTGCACCCACCAGCATGGAGAGCTGCCCACACTGCTGCTCTGCACAGGGAGAATAAATAAATAAATCCAGGAGAAAGGCATCAGTACTCACATTCTCTATGTTTATATTTGCTTTTGCACTGGTCTCCATGAATTTAATCCCGAAACTTGCAGCAAGCTGAACAAAAGCAGATTGCACATTAGCTGAACAATTGCAGGAACAGCTCCAAACACAGCCCTGGGCACAGCATCTGTCCCTGCTGCCAGCAGAGCTGGGCATTTATTGCAAAAATGAGGAACTAAATCCCACTGGCATCTGTTCTCACTGGCTCTGCTCTGCTCTTTTACACTCTGCACACATTTTAACTTGCTCTTTTTTATTTCTTTTTGCATAGATACCTTGTCAGTCTCATAAAAACCACAGTGCAGAGAAAAACTCTGCCTCAACTCAGTAACATCTGAGATGGGAAAAGACAACCCCATCCACCTTGTCTCAGTGGCTTTCAGCCAAAACATGTTTTCTCCCTGTCCAACTCTAGATCCTTTTAGAGTAGTCCCACTGCATCTGTGGGATAATTGACAGCAATCCTTAACAGAGGTTGTGCTGTTGGTCCCAGTTGGGGACAGTTCAGTCACTCAGGGACACCCCTGGGGCACACAACCAGCAGGGCAGGTTTGACACTCTGAAAAGCCCAAATCAAAACACACGGAAACCACAGCACTCACCTTCTCCCCTTGCTCTCTAGACACCTGTCTTTTGTCATTTGCATCACATTTGTTCCCCAGGATCATTTTTTCAACATCTGGAGAGGCGTGCTGAGACAAACACAGAGCAGAAACTTGGGCTTGGCTTTTGCAGACACACATTGTCAGGCAGGTGAGGCACCCACTGAGCACCCAACACGGAGATGCCAGTCCTGAGAATCTTCCACAGATTTCCAGCCCCCTCCAACCCTTCTTCCCAGCATGTCACCTGCACCATGGCACTTCTTGGATCAATTGTTGTGGAAATTGCCACATTTGGTGCCCCCAGAAGTACAGGAGCTACAGCCAAACAACAAATCCCCATCAGCCAAAGCATTCCAGAACTATTACTGACTCCCAGCCCACTTCTCTTGCAAGTACCCTGCAGCACATGACAAAGTGTAACTCTCCTGAAGCAATTCAGCTTTAATTACTTTCAGAGGAAAAATGACACCTTTAACAGTCAGTAATAAGTAAAAAGAGAAATTACCTCTTCAATATTCCTCACCCAGTTCCGAATATTTTCAAAAGACTTTTCATTGGTGATGTCATACACTAGCATGATGCCCTAAAGGTAAAGAAAAATTGTTTATTAGTTAAAAGTTTATAGCAGAGAGGAGCAGTTTAACAGTGGCTATTTTTACCAACTGGTTCCCAGCTAATGGCAGTGAGATAAGGTGTGCAGGGCATGTATTTATAGAGTGAAACATGGGGAAGCTGCCTCTGCAAAATCCCAGATTTTCCCAATGTGGGAAATGGATTTATAGAGACTTTCAGGGCCTGACAGGAGTCACACACAGTGTGCATCCCTGTGTAAACTCTGAGACAAGAAATGCTGACTTAGAAATACTATAGAATAGAACAGATATTGTGGAGAGAGAAATAGAACTAGAAAAAAAGTTTCAAAAGATGGTCTTGTAAATAAGACTAGATACTTCAGAGGAATAGAATTATTTAAGATATATTGTAGTGGGACCTATGAGGGGTAGTTTTAGTAAGGTATCTACAACATGGTGTGGTAAAAAGTTGATAAGCAAGAAACACTTACAGTGTATTGTAATTAGGAAATGGTTGGATTCTGATTGTGATGGTGTGAATTATAACATCTGTATTGTCTCACCCTTCTCATGAGACTGAAAACTGAAGTTTTTAAAGCACCTCTCAGTTACCCCAACTCTAAGCCAAGCAAAGGGTGTTTGTTATCCATATCCCAGCACAGCTCCAGCAGCACCCGGAGCAGCAGCAGAGCTGAGAGTCTGGCAGAGCCCCACGCTGGGAGGGCTCCAGAGGCAGCTGCGTTTATCCAGCACAGGATCCCGGCTGTGCCCCTACCATGGCTCCCCTGTAGTAGGCGGTGGTGATGGTCCGGAACCGCTCCTGCCCGGCCGTGTCCCTGCAACACAAACACTGCCTCAGCTCCCGCCAGCGCCACCACGAGCCTTACAGAAATCACATCAATAAACCAGCCTTCAGAGCACTAAAAAATGCCTTTTGGGTTCTAAAATAGCATAAACCACCGAGCAGCACACGCGGATGGGAACCGACCACACCCCCACGCACAGCACGGAGCGGCACAGGAGCCTTACCAGATCTGCAGCTTGATTCTCTTGCCATCGAGTTCTATCGTTCTGATTTTAAAGTCGATTCCTGAAAGGAGAACCAATTCCTTTACTCCCGGCTCCCGCCGAAAGGGGGGATTTGTTCCAAACAATTTGGATTGTTTGCCAAACCCAGCGGCTTTGCCCTCAATTCCGCTGCTCCGTGTCCCGTCCTCAGCGCTCCCCGCACCGGCCGGAGCGGCCCCGCATGGAGAACCCGCCGGGGAACGGCAGCGAACCGGGCCGGCATAGCAGCGAACCGAGCCCCGCATGACAGGGAACCCACCTCGCATAGCAGTGAACTGAGCCCGCCACGGCAGCGAACCGGCCCCGCATAGCAGAGAACCGGGCCCGCCACGGCAGCGAACCCGCGCCGGTGCCGGTGCCGCGGGCGATCCCCGCGCGGTGCACGGCACGGCACGGCACGGCACAGCACAGCACAGCACAGCACAGCACGGCACAGCACGGCACGGCACAGCACGGCACGCCACAGCACACCACAGCACGGCACGGCACAGCACGGCACAGCACGGCACAGCACGGCACGGCACAGCACGGCACGGCGCGGGCGGCGCTCACCGATGGTAGAGATGAAGGTGGCGTTGAAGGCGTCCTCGGAGAAGCGGAACAGCGCGCAGGTCTTGCCCACGCCCGAGTCGCCGATCAGCAGCAGCTTGAACAGGTAGTCGTAGGTCTTCGCCATGTTGGTGGGCACCGGCCCCGCCCACCACACGCTCATTGGTCCAGCCCGGCGGAGAACGCACGGAGCCGGCAGCTCTGACGCGGGTGCAAACAGCACCGCGATTGGTTGCCGGCTTCACCGCCGGTGCTGCGTCATTTCCGGGCACGGGCTGTGATATAGTGACGTCACTCCCGTACCTGCCCGCACCGTGACGTCACGCCCCCGATCGGCACAAAAACCCCCAAGAGGCCTCGGTACTGTGAGAAATCCTTTAATAAGAAACGGCAGCGGAGGCGGCGCCGCCGCTCGGGTGCAGCTTCTACCGAGGGTACAGGGGAGGAGCAGGGAACCGTGAGAACAGCCAGGGCACGGCCACACCCGGCCTGGCCCGGCCCGGCCCGGCGGGGCGCCCCGGGGTGGCTGTGCCGGTCATAACTTAATTGGCTTTTCCAGGATACAGAGAGAGAAAGGAGAGGAGCGGGGCAGGGCCAGGGCTGGCTCCCGTGGCTGCTGGCAGCTCTGCACCCCTCATATACAGTTCAGTTCATTTAGTGTTTGGTCCAGTGTCTGGTGCAAGCCCAGGTTCTCCTCTTTGGCTTGAGCGAGTTTTTCTGGTGAGAAAGAAGAAAACCACAAGATTGAAATCACATTATTTTATAGCCTTTTCTCTTTAAATAAAACCTGGGGTAGCTTACCTGCATATTTAAGACACCTTTATCATCAAAACTGGGCCAATTTTTTGTAATTGCTGTGCTTAAGAGAGGTTTTTGGACACTTCTCATGGAGTGTGAAAGGGCTGTGTTTTAATGTGTCATTTATGGGCCACATCCTGCTGGGTTCTCCTTGGACTGGGAGGTTTTTAACCAGCAGACATTGAATGCACTCAAAGCTTTTCACTGACTAAAGGAACACCAAAATTCAATTGTTCAATTGTCAGGTGCTGCCCCATCCTGACCATGTCTTGCCCAATCCCACCTGACGAGCTGAATGTGATTTTGGTGCCATCACCAGTGACTTTGAGCTGATCTATCCAGAATTAAACCCTGCAAGGTGACAGGTAGAGGTATCATGTTTTATTGAGCTCAGTTCCCACAGAGGTGGAGGTGGCACAGGAGTGACAGGGATTACAGGCAAGAAAAGCTGGAGAAAACACAGTGAGAGGGAGTTCCCCGTGTCCCCACACGGGGGCACGTCACAAAGAGGTCATGTCGTTGAGGGCATGGTCGAGCTCCTCGCTGATGGCTTTGTACTTCAGCTTCTGAGCGTAGAGCTCATCTGTCAGGCACCAGGGCAGCAGCACCAGGGCAGCAAGAAATGCAGGGAGGAGGAGAGGCCACAGGAGGAGAGCGGAGAGGCAAAAGGCAACAGCAGCCAAAGCAGTTGGGAGGAAAACAAAAGAAGAAAACAGAGTAGTTGAGTATCAGAGGGAAAGCAAAACACCCACAAAGCTGCCTGGTCAGAAGTTCCTCCTATGTGAACTTTTTGTAATCCCATAACTGTTTTCAAGCAAGCAGATTAAGTATGGTGAGCCCTTGAGTCCCTCCATGGCCAAAATCAGGGAATTGTTACCAATTTTATGGAAGAAAACCTTTTCCAGGAGAACTTCCACCAGTGGACACATCACACCCATAGGCTACTGTTCTTTGCCACTAAATCCACCACCCACTCCTAGAATTTGTCATCTGATTTGAAACTGATCACTTCTAAAGAAATTTGACTCATTCCATACCTTCCAGGTCATCAATAGACTTTTCCAGTTTGGCAACAGTTCTCTCTGCAAATTCTGCACGAGTTTCAGCCTAAAAAAGGTGAAATAGCATCACTGGGTGCTCCTAGAAAGATTATGCCCAAAGATGCATCCAGCTTGGGGATGGCCAAACTTACTTCTTTCAGCTTGTCAGAGAGAATCTTGATTTCTTCTTCATATTTATCTTCTTTTTCAGAGTACTGTGAAAACAATAAACGCTCGTTAAGGGAAGTTGTAGCAACAATAATAAATGTTTATAAAACTCTGACCTATTTATAAGCACTCTTCCTTTTAAAACAGCTGCAAAAACCATTTCCATGCTCTCCTGCAGACCTTCAGCATTGTTTGGGCAGAACTGATGGAGTGGTATCCACAGACAGGCAGGTAAAACCTCTCATTTGCTTTGTATTCCTGATTTATTTCTATGAATTCTATTTACAAGTTTTGGCTTTGCCCATATCCTTTAGTTTACTGAAGGAACCAACCTTTTCAGATTGAGCTTCCAAAGATTTCAGGTTGTTTGTGACGTTCTTTAGCTCCTCTTCAAGGTCACTACACTTACTAGAAAGGGAAAATAGAAGTATGAATTATTAGTGTTCCTGTTATGATTTGGAAGTCTAAAAAACACAAGGGAGGAAGTATTTAAGTCTGAAAGAAGAAAACCAGGTATATAGTGTGCAAACAAACTTTTCTATGAGTACTAACTACACGTGTGCCTAGCAGGAGATTATTTTCAATGCAATGTAGTGTTGATATTTCCTATATTCTGAACAGTTACTCACACTTCAGACACCTCTGCACGCTCCTCAGCTCTTTCCAGTTCACCCTCCAGAATAACCAGTTTACGGGCAACCTGTAGAAAGATAACAGCCAGTTATCAGTCAGTGTGCAGCTCACAGAATCACAGCATGGCTTGGGCTGGGAGGGACCTCAAAATCATCCATTTCCATCCCCTGGGACACTTTCTTTACAGATTTCAACAGGCACTCAGAAGTACTCTGCTCCTGCTTCCTCTGGAGTGAGGAAATTAGGCTGAAGCATACAGCCCCAGATGTAACAGCCCTCCCCAATTGGATTTTGCAGTATTTTTAGCATTGGGTACTGAGGATGCTGCAAATCACTATTAAAATTCCTCCTTGCTGGCAAGGTTCCAAGGCTGAAGGATCAGCCAGTGCCAGTTGAACAGAGGGACTGAACTGAAGAGCAGTGTTGTTATTGCTCATGGCTCTCCTGCACATTTCACCATTTCCTTCTCCCTTTTACCTCCTCATACTTGCGGTCGGCTTCTTCAGCAATGTGCTTGGCCTCCTTCAGCTGCATTTCCTGAATTTCCATTTTCTCTTCATCTTTCATCGCTCTGTTCTCAATAACCTTCATTCCTCTGCAGAAGTCAGAGCATGTTTAATGTTAGAAGCATTTTGGCACTTGTATCTCAACTTCACAAAGTGGAATTTGATATTTGTAACCCAAAAATGGCCCATTATGACCACAGTGGTTATCAAGGGTAATGGAATTACCCAATCAGGCTTGTAAGAAAGTTTCAAGTCTCTGAGCTGCAGTTGCACATGCAGATACTAAGTTACACAGGAGTATTTTATTCACATATATTCACTTATTTAACACCAGAAAATAAAAAAGGAGCGTACCTCTCGCTCTCATCTGCTGCTTTCTCAGCCTCCTCCAGTTTCTGCAGGGCTGTGGCCAGTCGTTCCTGGGCACGGTCCAACTCCTCTTCCACGAGCTGGATGCGTCTGTTCAGAGCTGCCACCTCACCCTCAGCCTGTGTGAACAATGCCCAGAGGGGGTTACACAGCACTCAGTGTCCCTGCAGCCACGGCAGCATCACCCTGGGGCTGCAGGGCAGCTCAGGGGCCCTTCTGCCTCTGCTTTTTGTTTGCTTAAACTCTGGCATCTCAGGAATGTCAAGGTATGGAGCGTGTGCTTGTTCTTTCTTTTTTTTAATGGCACTTATCATTCCTGCCACTCAAAAAGGAACTCTGCAGGACTGCTGAATCGGGGTATTTTTGGAGCACTTCACAGGGCTGCATCTATCCAAACTTTTAAAAATGAACCGTTTCCATGATGGCTTAGTTCCAAAACCTTCACCGTGGGTTTCTCTGCCCTTGGTTTCAGTGACACCCTGGAGCCAGGTCCTGATCCATCCTGGATGCTGGAGGATCTACAGGGGCAGCTGGGCACAGACAGTGGCCTCAGCATGGCAGAGTCAGGCTTTTTTTGGGACAAAATTAGATAGAGTCTTAAAATAAATTAATTTTGCTTCCTGCAGTACTTAAGGAATTAGGCAGGATGCATTTCTCAGTAATAAGATCTGTTTGTGTATTATTGAACAAACTGCACATTAACTGGAACACCATTAGTGTATAAAAAATAGACTAGTTAATAAATGGAAGAGATTGCTGGGAGAAATGCTCGATACAGAAAACATGGACAAACTGGTGTCCATAAATATGTGTTCACTAAGACTGAGCTCCTTTAATTGCTTGTTTTTGAAGGAAAATGGAACCCTGCTTAGTAACTGCCAGGCTTGTTCACTGTATTGTCCCCCATTCTGAGGAGGATTGCCATATACAAGATTAACTTTTTTTCTCCTCAGCTTTACAGAATACAGACCCTGGAGGGGCGACTGTTTTATGCTTTATGTTAAAACACTTTGGAAAAAAAAAAAAAAAAGAAAAGCGTTTTTCTGCAGCTTAGCAAATTTGGTCACTGACCACTCCTAAGCTGGAGGAAGTGGTTTCCATTCACTTCTGAGCCATCTTGGAAAGGAGTTCAGTGGCTGATCCAAATGGAAGCTGACCCAGGATTCCTCTAGTCATAAATTATCCAGCGTTTCATCTGTTTTTACCCACTGCAGTGTTTAACTTCCCGATTTATACACAAGGCATCGATCACGTACAAAACTGGCATCTGTTCTGTGGCAGCAACTCCTTCCACTAGACAGGGCGCTTTTAAGTCACTTTTTAATTCAGCAAGATTCCAAAGTTATGGAGCCGGGGCCACTGGGAATCTGGGGTGAGCCTGGCTCCACCTCTCCCAGCAGCAGCCCGCAGTCCTTATACGGTAAAACTAACTCGCTGACATGTGATAAAATAGCAGGAAGATGCCGGGAAGGCTGATCGCACACAAATCTAAGTGAAACCAGCTGTCCGACCCCGGGAGAGCCGCACGCTAGCGGAGATTTTCGCATTTCTCTGTGAAAACCAGGACGGAAAGTTATTTTTCAGCAGTTCGGACATTTCCCAGCTGTGCTGAAGCCAGCGGTGCGGCGCCGAGAGGCGGGAACTCCCCGCTCCGTGTCATGCAGCGCTTTTGCCTAATTAAACAGCCATTTCCTACTAAACGCTCAACCGCTCCCCAGTGCCGATCGGTGCTCGAGCGCCTTTTCCGCAGGAATGGGCCCCAAAGCGCGATAAGCGGCGG